ATGTGGACTAGCAATACTGACCGTGTAAAAAATGTGGACGCAGCCACCATGACGTCAACCTTTGGTTAAGCGCTGAGTTTTGGATTTCATCATTGCCATCTTGGCCTTTTAAATCTACATGTTATAAGCAAGAAGTGGATCTGACTGACAACTCAAGGACAGTATGAACAGCCATTTGGTAGTGACTTGTCTAAAGCATATCTTACTTAATCATCTATCTTACCCAAAATGGGAGCAAAGTTTACGAAATGAACATCATATTGTGTTAAAGGAGACGTGAAACTATTGATTGCGACCATAAACCCGTTAGGAAAATGTTAATTAATGCAGGAGATGAAGTTAGAAGTTGACTAATTCTCTCATAGACTTCTATACAATCTGACCTATTTTTTAAAAACAGAGGCGTCGCCCCCTGCTGGCTGTTGGACAGAATGCAGTTGGAAATCATATTTACATCCAGATTGTTTTTCAGAGGATATGTCGATCTTTTCTATACAGTCAGTGACTGAAATTTAACCTACCCTGGTGTCCACAGTCCTGTTTACATCCATGTTGATTAAATTCCTTCCTTCCTGCCTCTGTGTTCCTGTTGCTAACTGCCAATCAGTGAAAATTGAATGAAACTGTCAGCAGAACAATATTACGTTATTGCATGCTTGTGTATGTGTGTCATCAGATGCGTATGCCTGCAAACTTCCTCCAATGTAAATGATCATACAAGTCATTAGTCCCTCTCTGATAGCACAGATACTTTACCCCACTGTTTGGTCACAGAAAAAGCTTAGTTAGGCTTTGGCAGAGCAAAATACTTTGTTGGGATTTCGGGTAAGATTGGGCTTTGGGTTAAAGCTTTGTTGTCATGGTTACAGAGATAAACATGGGGTTACGGTTATGGTAAGATCAGGGTTAAAAAAAAATAAAGTTTCAGTTTCATCAAGGAAATGCAGAGTGGAGCCCAGAGTTAAAGTCTAAATTTTTGTCAACCCATCCATCCACCCTAAGCTCCTCACTTTGTTGACTACTGCGATAACCAGATGGCAGAATCACAATGAGACGTATCACAATGTGTAAAACTCTGCCAGTTTTACACATTGGCGTTTAATTCTTCACACATGTTAAGCCTGATAGATGTGCTCCAGTGATGTCACTTCAGTTTAGGTCTAAAGACAAGTTTGCTGATAAATTGTTTGCAGACTTGGAGTAGTTTAAAAATGAAAACAGTCAGAGGGCGTGGAGCTAGTAAGAAGTACGTTTACCAGACCTCTGCAGCTCATGTCTCTGCTTGAAGCTTCAGGCAATATTAATCACTACTAGAACAACATCGCAAAACTCAGATGAACTCCTGGCAGTCGAGCTGCATTGTGCGATTAGACTGACACGACATTAAAGTGAATTGCGAAATCCGTGCAGTTAAGTAACCCTCTGCGACTAGCATTTCACAATAAAGTTGAGTTCTACTGAGAGCGTCTCAAATGTAAACTTTTCAGGAGAGTTCTGGCCACATGTGTGCTGTTTCTTTTTGGTTTTATTTAATATTTTGAGATTTTCTTATGCCACCTGGCCTACCTGGCTACTTGTAGTATCGGTGGTCTGACAACTTGACAGAGCCTGTTTTTGTGCTCCTGTCAGTGTCAGCACGAGTTGCTCTGGATGAAAGCGTCCTCCGCAAAAAAAAACCCTCCCTAAAATGTGCGACAGCTCAGAGCTCTGTGTGGGGACGATCTGCCAGTTTGATAGATGGAGGAGAGACTCTGGCTGCAGGGTGGAGGTTTGGATGTTGTGGTGGCAGAAATGGGAACCAGTATCTGAGCAATGCCACACAAACACATACAGCCTGGCTGCCATAATGTCCCTGTCCATAGGCAAAATGAGAGACAATCAAGTATCATTTCCTCTATTACCCTCTGTTCCATATTCATTGTGTTCATATCAGAGCAGGAAAGGAGCCGTTTTAATGTATGTTTATGAGAGGTGGAAAAGGAAGTACAAATTATGCACACTGACATGAATTCACCCCTTCGGTTCTGTGAGTGAATCAAAAAAGCTTCTCTGGATTTACGGGGACACAATTAATGTTAATGAGTCCCTTCAGTGGCTCACAAAAATATGTAAATTCATTTAATATCCACATATTGAACAGACTGGATCAAGGACACTGGAATACAAGTACATCCACATGATGTTGTGCTCTGTTGTACATGTTGTGTCTCATACGACGACTTTTCAAATCATTCTATTTAAGGATCTATTTATTATGTAGACAAATATACAGTATTATCACTCTCATCAAAAAATTAGAGATACTTTATATGTTAAAGATGCACTCCAATAAGGCTTTATGTCTTTGAGCGAATAATTTGTGCCATTTTCACCCCTAAGAGTTGAACGACTCTGTTCAAATCGCTTAAAATGACACATACTCCACTTTCCTTACTGAAAAATCCAGAATATAAATGCAAAGCTTGTTTTATTTTAAACACAAGTTGCTCTGATTATTACTGCATCGCTCCAGTTCATTTATAGAGAGCATGTGTGATGCTCTCTACTGGATTTCTGGAAGTTTGAGGACAGAGTAAAAACAACACTCCTAGTTGTTGTTTTTTTGCTGTTGTTTTTAAATGTAAATACACAAAATGATTTTTATATGTCAGTGATAGATGTGGTTGTGGAATATGAACAAAGCAAACATGCAGACAATGGTTTTATACACTAATATACTCTAATATGTTCCCTAAAAAAAAATAAAGAGAGCCAACAAATCCTGCTATTCCTCCTCAATAAGTAAATAAAATGTTGTATTAGTTTGACAGTGATTATATTCTGGTGTACGCATGTCTTCCTGCTGTCGTATTGTGGACCTTCCCAGGGGTCTCGCTTGGTTTTATATAATTAGTCATTTCTATTCCATTGCTTTACGACTCTGAGGACTTTCATCCTGAGCGGAAACAGTTGTGTTTCATCCTTATTTCATTTTATCTTCTCTGTGTATTGCTAGAATCACCATCGTTACTCATCGTCACTCACATCCTCCAGAACGGCCTTTGTAGCCGACTGGGTTCTGTGCAGGTGAGGTGTCATCTGTCAGGTGGGTGTGAGGCGACTCTGGGTTTTGGGCTGATGTTGTATTTTGTGGATCCCAAGAAGAATAGTAGGTACTCTGGTAGCAACTGATGGGGATTCAAGTAAACAAATGACAAACAGTGGAAGCTGCATGCTGGACCGTCATTGGCTTCCACGTTAGTTCTGATGTCACAATATCCTGCTGGTACATTCAAATGAGCAGAAGACTGGTAAAAACAAACTGGCCTTCTGAATAATTAAGCTCAGGCATCCAAATGATACAACAGGAAGTGGAGCACATTTTTAAGTGAAGGGATAACTGTAGAGGTTGACCATCGTTTTAGAACATGCATAATGATATTTAGTGCAGTCGTGGGACACAATTAGCTGTTCATAACTTCCACATCCAAGACAATGAAGCCACAGACCCACTGTTACATAACTCCTGCTGCTTTAGATTTCCCTTCTTGCATTTCTCCTGTGGTTCATTTTAGAAAAGCAGCAGCTCTGCTCATCACGCTGCAGTGATGCAGTCTGTCCACTGGGTGGTGCTGTTGTAAAAGGATCAGACGATTGTCATCCCCATCAATTATTGAAACAGTGTCTTCCACAAAGTCAGTTACCAGGCAGCAACTGGTAGATTTCAATCTTCTCCAACCACTGCGGCTTGTGTGGGCTTTTCATCAAATTAATGTGTTGCTGCAGTGCAGTCGTTCATTGTCTCACTTACAAACACCAAGTGGTTTAAAACATTACTTAAGAGCACTTTGGTAGTTGTTTTAGAGACGATGATGTTTATACAAAAAGAAAGGTACAAACTCAAACTAAGAGTACAGCGACAGACATTGATTTGGATGCTTGTGTTCACCGGAATTAACTCAAACTGGGGTCTGTACCTTATTTCATTTTTTTTCATGCACTTTTAAATGATTTGTCTATTGACTTTCCATACACTTCATTCAACTGCTGCCTTTTAACTGGTTGACATGACCATAGATTGTAAAATATACGAAGCGTTCTTTTGCAAAAACAGATAACTTCATTTTTGTAGATTTTCAGAAAAAAATGTTTGCTTGAGATAATATCAAAGTGAAGCTGAGTGGATTTGACTCAGTAGAAATGACAACAATAGAGATAACTTAAGATTGAGTGATATTGCCTCAAAAGTGGGTTTTCTGAAGGTTTGTGAAGATGGAGTTATCTGTTTTTGCAAATGAGCTCTTCATATATAATATATGCAGTCTATGGACACGACGCACTTCATTGTGGATGACTCATCTTTCTTTTCTCTGACTGCAGCTAGACAGAAGTTTCTAAAACTAAAGCTATTTCTATCAAACTGTTATTAATATTAGAAATAATTTATCACATTTCCCCACTTCAACAGGGGAATAACGTGCAGCCTGTTTATTTTTAGTTTGGATCTGCTTTAAATTTCAGTGATCGCTGCACTTATCTCGATCCAGGACTGTCATAAAGTCCTCCTGTGCTGCCATCTGAGTCAACTCACTCACTTGGGGTTTCATAAAAGCTGCATAAACAACAATGACAGTCATTTGTGACGCCGAAAGAAACCCTGTCAGGTGGGCGTATTGTGTATTTAAAGTGTTATTTCCCTTAACAGAAGGCATGACTGTAAAATGAAATGCATGAAGACAGTTTGTTTAAATTAAAGCAAATGAACTGATTTAAAGTTGTGATCGTTGACGGCAGGCAGGGAAGTTTAAACACTGTGATTTTGTTCCTCCTGTAAAAACTCTTATCTGAGATCTATCATATTTTCCAGCAGCAACATAGCGCGTCACATTTCCACGGGCTTTATCTGCTGCCACACTGAGCCACATCTCATTAGAGTGTCCACACTGACAATGATGCACGTCTTCCACAAGCTCTGCTGCTTTAGGAATTCAAATCTTACAGCTGCAAAATAAATAAACTAATTTTACAGTTTCATACGAGATTTTCTTTTTTTATTGATTACAGCATCTTGGAGGTGTGTTTACTAAACTGTCCAAACCATGATGTAACCATCGTAATAGTGACAACACAAAGAAGAGTCATACAAACACAAAATACAAACAAAGAAGTAACATATTATACAGCAAATGTAAGTCAGGAAGTCAGACCGTAGCATATAATACAAGGCCTCCAAAAACTCTGCAGTACAGAAGCACAGCAGCTCACTTCTCAGTTATCTCTCGTACAAAAATAAAACTGCAGTCATCCAGGTCAAACTGACGAAGTCCACACATTCGTCCTTTACATGACTTCTTCCCCAGAAAGCTTTAAAAAATAAAAACGGTGCAAATAAAAACGAATCCATAAACACTGCTCCCTTGTCACGGTTTCGATGTGTTTTCGCTGCTTAAACAGATATCAGCTGAGTCAACTTCCTGTGACAGTTAGTACGTCTCTCCAGTCTTTGTGCAACACCTGGCGATCTCTGTAGGCTTGTGTGTTTTTATTTATTTATTTCTTTTTTTGGTCGGTCCAAACTCTGAAGACAGCTGGCGTCTCCTGGTGGTCGGTTGGTGGTTACGAGCTCTGCACGGCGCTCTGTGGACTCGAACACTCTGCAACAACAATAATAGTAATAATAATATGAAATTCTGGTCTGTGGCGAACTCAAGACTGCTCAAGAGAGAAAAAGTAGATCCAGGCTTTGGTCTAATTGGTCCACAGTCTGCATCGGGGGAGGCAGAGTGGTAAAGCTGGTGATCAAGTCTTGGGGAAAAAAGTTGCCACTAGAGGGAGCCTTTTTCCTCACATATACAGTATAATGATATTATAGTCAGTTCATTAAAAGGAACTGCAGAACACAAATGCAAAAAGTTGTTTAAGGAAAAAGAGTCTCTACTCCATAATGTATCCATCAGACAGCACTGACATGCTTTTATTAGCTGTGCTGGTAAGACTAGCCCTCCAAATCCACCACTTGGACTGAAATATCTTAACAGCAAGAAGATCGACTGCAATAAACTCGAGTACAAATGTTCATGACCCCTTCGGGATGAATCCAAATAACTTTAATTAATCCTTTGATTGTTTTTCTTATCAGCTCAATACCTCGACTTACAAGGTGTGTCAGAAAAGTTCCAGGACTGGTGTCACAAAAGATATTTTCAAATCCACACTACAAGTTTTCCCCTTCCAAGTAATCCTCCTGGAGTCTAACAGACTTCCCCAGCCTTCTCTGCCACGATGCCATGCACTTCTGGAAGGATTCTTCCAGGATCCTCCACAGCTCCGTTGTCACAGCCATCTTGATGTCGTCCACGTCTTCAAAGTGGGTCCCCTTGATGACCCCCTTGAGCTTGGGCAAGAGGAAAAAATCTCACAGAGCCAGGTGGGGTGAGTAGGGAGGTTGATCCAGCATGGCGATGATCTTCTCAGCCAGGAACTGTGGGATGCTCAGGGCATTGTGAGCAGGTGCGTTGTCATGGTGAAGCAGCCACGACTTGTCCTGCCACAACTCTCCCCTCTTCTCGTGCACTAAAAGAAACAAACGCACGATCTGCCTGACGCGCTCGACGTTGGTCTCAGTCTTGCTGGTTGAAGGCCTTTTTCCTCCTGGGGTCATCCTACACATCCTCGCCTCCCTCTTTAAACCTCTTACACCACTCAAAAAAACGTGAGCATGACATCGTCTCATCTCCATACACTTGCTGCAGCAATCCCACTACTTCTGATGGAGTTTTCCCCAACCGGACCAGAAACTTGAGGTTGGTTCATTGCTCTGTGCTCATTGTTTGACGACATGAAACAGAGAACATGTATATAAAAGCATGTGGAAAAAAGCTAAATGGCTGCAGAGAGCTGAGATCACAGTTATATACTCCAGGGCGATTACTTTGAAGAGGAAAGCTCGTAGTTTGGGTTTGAAATATATCTTTTGTGACACACCTCGTATGTCCAAACAACCTGCATTATTGACGTTAGCATCAGCCTTTGCTGTGCCTCATGATTAAGGTTGATTAGCTAATGTTAGCATGCTAACACATGCCACTTAGCTGCTGAACATGACAAACATAATATCTGCTAAACATCAGTATGTGCATCACTGTGAGCATGTTAGCAGGTTGACTTTTGTATTCAGCGCAAACAGCTGATGTGATGAATCAGTTAAGGAGGACAGGTCGCTTAGCTTAGCATAAAGAGTAGAAGCAGGGAGCAATTTGTTAGCCTGGCTCTGTTTGTAAAAATCCACCTACCAGCACTTCTACAGCTCTCTAGTCAATGGAATTCTAATGCAGATGGACGACAAATTAGAGGTAAGACCTGGTACACTGACCAGATCCCCTGCAGTGAGGCGGCTCTGTGATGATGAGGAGAGTATTTTGCTGTCATGGTTTGGGTCCTTCTGTCCCCTTCGAGGTTAGAGTAACTGCAAATCAATGTAATGTTGTTCTGAATGATCACCTTTACCCTGTGAAGAAACGTTTCTATCCTGATTAGAGGGGTCTCCTCCAGGATGACAATACCTCCATCCATCTGTCCAACCAACTACCATACCGAGACAAGATTTTTTTTTCCTCTGGAAATTAGATTGTGTGGTGAGGAAGGTTTTCAGTGGATAACTGTGCGTTGACAACATCAGATATTCTTTTAGAGTGGAGTGTAACAGTGGAATTACAATCTCCTACAGTGAGTGTTACGTGAAAATTGAAAACAAGTTCACAGCATCTCCTACCTGCAGACATGAAGCAGGGAGAAAATCTGTCAGACAGCAAAGAATTACAGCTGCCACAGATGAGCTCAAAGAGACAGTGTGGAAAAACACTGACTGTCAGAGAAAACGATTCTGGGAGCTTCAAGAGCCTACCGGGGGACATCGTAAGTCTTTGACTGAAAGACAAGATACTTCACTGAAGCGGACTAGTCTCCTTGGTATTAGTGGTATCTCAGAGAAACTTTCTTAGCAGGACAAGTAAAGGAGTGTTTCCTATCAAAACACATGTAAGGAAAAAAGGGGTGTGCTCCTCTTCCTTGTTGTTAGGGCCAAACACCATTTCCTAGCACTGACATCCTTCCTCCCTGCCTTGTCATCAACAAAAGATTGGCAGTTACCTAAACTCCAAGGTGTCACTGTTTGCCTAGAAACTGTCACAGAACAGAACGTTTTGTTTGTGCTGGAGACAAGACCCACTTGTCATCTTCATTGGGTTGATATATACACACAGAGCAGCTCAACACTCAGGACAAACAGAGCTGAGTAACATCATTTAGGAGGATGGATTTAAATAATATCAGGGCTACCACACTAAACATTAACATGCAGCAGCTTCCGTCATTAATAGTTCAGCCTTTAACACACTACGTTTTGTTGTTACCTGTGTGTAGCGAGGACGTCCTTATCCGGCTTTCCTTTAGCGTTACGAAGCAGCCGCTCTTCTCTTCTGCCACAGCTTCTCCTGTCTCGATGTCACACGTCAGCACCATGATGGGACCTTTACCGCCCTTCAGATGGACCTGGATGCTGTCCTGCGTCAACACATAAACATAAGCAGAGTCATCTTGATGATAACTTTCCCTCCAAGCCCCTGCATGCGTCACCTACAGGGGCTAACTGATATCAAAAAAAGATCTATCGTATCACCGATGTCTACATTTTAATATTATGAAAACTTAAGTATACTTTGTAATCATTACTGCCTGAGATCAAACATGTTTCTAATAAAAAAAACATTTTACTAGTTATAAAATCAATACACCCTATAGTTAAGTTCAAGTCTTGAAAAATAAAGCAAGTGCTGTTTAGGAATCCCAAACACCTCCTTCAGGTCTAACTCTTTAGTCTTTCTACTGTTTTGACAGCGCCAAATTCAAATCGTCCGTGTGGTCGTTTACCTCTTTAGGAGCAGGAACCTCCAGTTTGGTTTCCTCTGGAGCTTTGACGACAATCACCGTCTGCTCCTGGAAAGCTCCGAGCCGGCTGATGTCCTCGTGAGTCACGTAGGCCGACGTGCAGGAAACGTTAAAGAAAACAGTTTTATCCACCTCCTGAGTTAAGCTGACTGTTTACAACATGGCTGACAACCTGTTCCTGCGTCCTTGTTTGTCTTCAATATCATCCACGATTACATTTTAAAGTGTCACAAAACAGCATTAACACTATGGGAATAATGCACCAGGTATTGTGAATACTGGATGAAAAACACTCTGTTTTACCTACATGACCAGCAGTAACTTGTGTTTTGGCCACTTGAAGGCAGCGCAAGCACAACATTAGCTTTAATGACAGTGGAAACTTGTTAGCAGACCATTGCTTGTGTATGCATTCAGCAGGTCTGGTGCCGCATTAGCATTTAATTTACCTGGAGAATTAACACCTAAGAGAAATATCTGTTTAGCTGCTAATTGCTCCACTATGTTCACTGGCTGATTTGTGTGCAGTTTAGCACTGATGCAGATGGCAACAATGCAATGATTAGCAACTGATGTTTAAAAGTCGTTCAAAGTGACAGCTCCTCCTGGTGTCAGAACTGTGTCAGTGAATTCTACCCAAAAGGTCCTGGCTTGTAAAACATGGTGGGGATACAAAGCAACAGGAAAGCTCTGGGTTTCAGGCTGTTAGGTTTGGTTGTTAAAGTTAGCAGTCGTGATCCTGCTGGTGTCCTCTGAGCTTCATTTGATGTGAAAGGATATGCAGAGTTTTGGAGGTCGTCCGTCATGTCAAAGAGCTGCTGGGCGCAGCTTTTGATGAGGGTGTCCAGCGTGTCCTCCACCAGCTTCAGGTTCTCCATCTCCCTCTTAAACTTCTGTTGGTTCTTCCACAGAAAGCTGGAGATGGGAGTGCTTCCTCTGGACAGACAGCAGTCAGAGAGCTGGGTTACACGACAGGCGACCGTTTTACTTGAGAATTTAAAAGAAAACTTGATGTGTTGAAGGAAGACTGTAAGATGTGGTTAAAAGCCAGAGATCAAACAAGCAACTTTTTTTATGTTCAAGATACTATATATGTTTTTACACATTATCCCTTTCACACACACACACATTCTTCACAAAAGACTGAATTCATTAGAAATGATTTCTAAAATCTAGTGATCTAATTTGGGAAATTATACCGGTACAGTCAGTGACACAGAGAAGATATTCACTCAATTTGATATTATCCAATTTCAAGTCATCCCAAATGCTGTTTATTGGGGCTGCAACAATGATTATTTTCACTATTACTTCATTTCTGGATTGTTTTTACAATTAAATGTTCAGTGGCAGAAAATAACAATGGCCATCACATTTCCCAAATTCTTACTTTTTTTTTTTTTTAAAGCAAACATTTCTGTATTTGATAAATGACTAGTTAACTGATTGATCAACTATTTATGATAAGTATGTTAGCAGATAATTGCCAAAAAATAATAAAAAAACTACCACTAGATTTAGTTTCTTGGTCTGAAATCAATATCTATTGAATAAAAAAAGAGGAACAGCGAGGCTATACAGTAAAACAGGTATAGCTCATCAATTTATCAATTTCAAATCAAAATTGCCATTTCAAACGATGCAGTTAGCAAATCACACAGGCTGCAAATGAGGATATACATGATCAAGTGCATCTGACGTGGAGTTTAAACTCTTTTATAAGCCCTTTTATAAATTCATGGCTGCCTCCTCGTGTGACAGTCAAGCTGTTGATGGTATCTCACCAAGTAATGCTCCACCACATGTTTTACATCTATTACATAGTCAATACTGAACTGAAGCTTAAATATTGCATATGAAATCACAATATCAGTTAGAAAAATCATGATAACAACAGGAGAGATTAAAACACGACTGAAGATGCAATCATAAAATCACAGCCGTACACAGTGGGTAACAACTCAGTCAGATCACTCACATCCACTTGATCTTGTTGGCCGACTGCTTCTCAATGAGCTGGATGCCGTTGAGGACGTTGGTGATGTCGTAGACTCGCCGCTTACGTGTTTGAAGGCTGGAGGTCACCTGCCTGAGGTCCAGGGAGCCGTCTGGAGCCATCAGCAGCAGATCCAGGAAACGCTCCGTCAGCAGTCCCAGGGACACGTCTGAGTGCAGCACAGTTAGAGGTGGAAGACAAGGATTAAACAACAGCACCCACATCTTCTGAGTAAAAGCTCAACCGTGAATTACTTTAAAATCCTAAATCTTACAATGAGGGCCGAACTAAAGATTATTTTCTAAATCACTTATCATCTGTCAGAATGTGATGGATTTTCTTTCAAATATCTTAAACATTACCTAATGCTACTTCTTCACAATACAAGCGCCTAATTACTCTATATTGACTGTTCACAAGGACCTGTTAGCAAGCAGCAGCAGGCTGCACAACTCCTTAGCATCGTAATAAACTCCTGTTACTGTGACTTCCTGTTGCCTGGAAAACTACTTGTCCCTGTGTGAAGCATGAAATCACATCAGTTACATGAAGGAAAAAAGCTGAATATCAACCGACCACTTAACTAAACAACACAAGTGTGCTTAGCTACACTGTAAACGGACACAGCAGTTCATCTTCTGCTGTATTTCTGACTAACAGTTTGCTCAGAGGTCGCTGGGACGCAGTGGAAAGAGTTGTAGTTTGTAGCACTTCACTACAGACAAGTGAAGCATTTCTGATGTACTCTAAGGCAACAGAGTTTCCATAACCAGATGATGCTGCAAACAGTTTTTACAGCAAACTAATAGTAACAATAATGAAGTCAAGATAAAGCCGCACACACCCTGTCGAGTGAATGTCCTGGTCTGACTCTTCTCTGTCCTCTGATGCAGGAGGTCACTGGAAAGAAAGAGTTGAGAAAATATCTCAGTGAACTTCAGGTTGGATTCCTGTCACGCTCATGTAAAACACACTGTATGGCAACGTGTGCAAGTATCCCTCCTCAACACCTGCTTCTGGACAGGAATTATATACGAGTAAATACATTTACTTGAACTACATTTAATTCATAAAACGTATCTGAAGTTGAACACCAAAACAAGCAGAGAAGTTGTTCTTCACCTGGTCGTCTTAGCTGCTGAAGCCTTCTTGACAACTGGATCCTGGAATTCAGAGAGTGAAAACAGAGCGGGTCAAGGTTATTGTGGTTGCATTTTAAAGGTCAGAATCTACAAGTTAAAAATAAATAAAACAACCTGAAGTCTACCAGCAGACTGTCAAAGGTTTTGTTTATCTTTGAGTAACATTTTTGTATTTTCATGTCCTCATTACAGATTGTATTAGAGAAGTACTTTACCATTCAACTATGTCTTCAACCTACAGTATCTGTGTTAGTGTAGTTTATTTTAGGACTATAAAGCTGCTTAATGCAGTGCACGTCTTACAAAAAATTTAATAGGGACAGTTTTCTAACCGGCTTTGGTGGCGCTGAGGCAGGAGGTCCTGACGCAGAAGGCTTTGTAGTAACGTCCTTTTCACCTTCGTCTTCAACACTTTCATCCTCATCGTCACCACCACCAGCAGCCCACTGATCCTCTTCGTCAGACAGCTCGGCTCCCCAGGGGCTGATCATGCCCATGGGCCCACCTAGGCAGGGGGGCATGATGGGAATGGCATCGCTTTTGATCCCATTGCTGGAGATGTCCTCCGGCAGGAAGTGGTCTTCACAGATCATCTGCTGCTCCTCAGAGTCCTGCTTGTCCGGCTCCCTCAGCGCTGCCAGCCATACCTGAACACAGTCATCAGTGTCACTGGACGTCTTTACTGATCGTAATTGGTTGGATTATTTTTCTTGTTCCGGTAAGAGATAGGAACAAATACAGCAAACTCAGGCTTCAAATTGCACCTCATCTAAGACACAGAACCTTCTGTTGCTAAAATTCCTGAATTTGGACCAATCAGAATAATATGTGGGTGAAGTCATGAATGTCCCAGATTTGCATGATTCATTTGGACTCTTAGACCTGGTAAGTGCAGCACAAAATTACAGCATCCATAATATACTGCTATGATACTAACATTTTATTAGATAGTTTAATAAAGCAGGAGAGTCTATATTCCTGAGACTAAAAACAAAATGTACCACAGAGTGAACCAAAATCACAAGAATGGAAACAAACAAAAGTCAGTGTTAAAACATGCTCGGGTCCTGTTTAAAAAAAATATTTCAGGAAAACGGAGGTACTTTAACAAAACAGAAGGCACACAAAATCTGACTGGGATACAAAGGAATCCATGATGGAGGAAAACAATATAAAAGGCCTGAGTACAGTCATTTAACAGCAGGTTTGGGTTGGTTGTACTTTTCAGAATTTTCATTTTATCGAATGAATACTTTTTTTTCCCTCCTTGCATTGAGTTGTCATTGACATATACTAGTTGCACATAAATGCTGTGCATATAAATGAGATAATTAGCACTTAAATTTGATACCTTGGTATAGATTTAACAACTCAACAGCAAAGAAGTGAACACTGGCTTCATGTCAGCCAGCTACAACATTAAAACGCTACGTACACGTCACTGCATCAGGAGCAACAATCTGATAACATAATATAGTGAAGTCAGAACAGAACAGAACAGAATGAGACTGTTACCAGTTAAACACTGACATAAAAAGAGTGTGTGTCTACACCTCAAATGGTGATACCAAAAAACAGTAAAAAAAAGACTTCAGAATGAAAGCCTAATAACACAGAATGCATGATTTAATGATGTACTAATCGGGGGTCAAAAAGAGCCGTTTTAATGGGTTTCAACGGGGACATTTTTATCTTAAAGGTCCTGAGTGTAATTTTTTTGCATACATGGTTTGTTACTGATGCATTATTGGAGCATGTGTTAAAATGTCAAAATTCACTAAAAATATTGCTTTACCATTTTAATGCCAAAATCACTCATACAGGTAAAATGATCTAAAAATCAAAAAGGAAAAAATGTCCTTATGGAGCATGAGGGTTAAACTTGTCAGCTTAATCTGTAATGCCAATTCTTATTTTTCTACTGGGGAGCACTTTATTGCTTTTAAAGTGTTGCATAAATAACGTTGATTTTATCTTTATAATTTTTTCCCCCCTTTTTTCTTTTTGTTTTTTTTTTTTCATTTTAATTCTCTCACATTATTTTTTAACTGACATCATCCTTGATGGTTTTGAAATATTGTTATTCTGGTATTCATGTTTATAAGGCATGGCAGCTATAAAATGGAAAACAACATAAAATATAACGCCCCTCAGTGCACAGTTGGACTTTCTAGCTCTTCTGTGATTAGATTTTATTTGTATTTCATAGCAGGGCTTGGACCAGTAATACATTACATCATTACACAAAGAAGTATTGTTTCTGAAACGAAACTACATGATTTTAATACTTCTACGACCCCTGGCTGCAGAAACAAACAGCTGCCAGGACAGAGACAAATCCTTATATTTAGGTACATAGTTTATTCTGGATTCTGGAAAATGCTTTGCTATAAAAACAAACGTGTAGTTAGCATCGGAGCTAACGCTTATCAATGGGTTCATTGAACAGGTAGCACGTTAGCATCACGTTAGCCGGTAGGAATTAGCGTAGGGAAAAAGAGGGAACACTTGTTTTTGGAGCAGCTATGTTGCAGCTGTGTTTTATCTGCAGTCATGTGTTCGTACCTTGACCCTCGTCGGGTCTTTGGGGAAGCTGAAGAACCTCTTCTGCGGTCGGTTGAAGATGCCCCGGTTCACGCTCTGCACGCGGTTCGGACAGCCGGACACCACGCACTTCACCATGCTAACCGTCTCTGCTCAGTCCAACCGGAGAAAACCGCACATGCGAGCCCCGTTTTTCACCGTCAGGATTCAGAAACAACCGCCACGGTGAAACTGTTTGTTTATGTCGCGTTTCATCCCGGAAGTAGAAGCGTCCTGACCTGGAACTACAAGCATGGAGGGAGACGCAGCACGTGGGCGCCAACCGGAAGTAGGTAAAAGTATGTTGTGGCTTCAGCTAGCTTAGCTCACAGCTACAGTGGTGGCAGAGAGTAGCAGGCCTGCTGTTTGTCTTGTTGCTCTAGCTGTAAACTGAAGCAGCTTTACATGTTGTTTCACAGCTCCCCCACCAGTGTGAACTTTATAAGGAGCTAAAACTTGTCCTAACTTATGACAGGAGCTCTGTCTGTTAATGTTTCTCAAAGCATCATTACTAAATGTAAGGCCTATTGTTGCTGACATTGTGACAGAGAAGGCCTTCCTCTGGGGGGCCAAACTGATATTTCCACTTCTTAAGTACCATGGCCAAATGTAGTAAAAAAAGGAAACGGAAAGGACCATTATTATAGCAGGATTGTACACTCTGTACCGCGCATGGGCAGATGAAAGACTGAAACATCTGGGGTATTCCTGCTCCTCTCACCTTGGCAGACACACTGAACCAGGTATGGTTCTGCTGCTGCATGCTGGCAAACTACCAGGGTCCTGTGGACGTTGAAGGTGAGGTCAAACACGAGGTGCAGTGATTGTTGCCACGCTCGATCATGTACAGCCACAATAAGCCGCCTTGTGTCAAGCCACAGTGTTTTCTCTCAGATTTTTTTCAGCAGCGGGGACAGGCTCTCCGGGAGACAAATGACACTTGACTGCATATATTACTTTTACAACCTATTTATTAAATGTCCAGTTGAAAATGGCTTTTTAAAGGCTGAATGTAAAAATAAAATAAATTAAAACCACAAGCAGCGATGGATGGGTCCTCGCCTTATGATTGTCGACTTTCTTGTTTTTTTAAAAATATATTTCTGTTGAACCATAATTCTAAAGCAATGTCATGATTTTCATTACATTTTTATTTATTATTACTCTACTTCAACTTATTTCAGTGACAGCTATTTTTTCCTTCTTTCACGGGAGGGTGTGAAGACATTTGAGGACGACTGTATGTGATCTGGTCATGTATATGTCTAGATCTATTCAGAACATACTGATTGTTCTTTTAGAAACTGTATTTCTTCCCAAAGGCTTTATGTGTTTGGGGTAGCCAAGATTTTTCAGCATGGTAAGAGTGTACTCACCTTCTATTCTCTTCAACATGTGGGTCAAGATGTGGTCAGAGGCCTGCTGTCATTTGAGCTTCTATGTTTCACAACACTGCCAAGAGAATAGCTTGACATTTTGGGAAATTATTGCTTTTCTTGGCAACATTTAAATGAGAAAATAAAGTCAGTACTGCACTGTAACTGACACATTTAAAACTGCAAAGGACTGGTAGTTATACAACATTACATTCAATTTTTTTCAGCTACTTACAGTAAAGCAGCTAAATAATGAGCAAAGAAGTCAAAGTGGTATTTTTTTGTGAACATCATGTTTTTTTTTTTCATTTATTAAATCAAAATAATTGACAAATTTACAAGATTAAAGTGAAATTGACAGGATGTACGAAAAACACAAGCAGTAGAAAACAAGAAAATACATTTAGAATGAATTACAAATGAAAACAACAAATGTGTTGTAAGTTGTGTCATAACTTATTAACACAACTGATACAATGAACCAACTATGTACAAAACAGAAATCACTGGATGTCACGCCAGCGACGTGGCTGGAGCTGCATGTGTCCGGCTCCACAGCGAGGCCTGCTCAGTGGCTGGTGGGTATTCCTCCTCCTAGGTGGAGATAATTGTTAGTAGGTTTGTTCTGAAATATTAAAATATTCTTCTGTTACAGTGGTATTTCAATATTGATATCAGTTTTATTAACATTACTAGCATGTTTTGTCAATGGGACTGACGTTTCAAAGGTTGGGTTAATGAATTACAATAAAAAAATTAAATCATCTAAGATCTCTTTTTAGAAACAGCGTCTGCACTACTCGATGACTACACTGAACAGCTGTAACGGGAAATACATCTTCCAGGGGATTTCATGCATAAGAACGTTTAATATTACGCTTTCAGGCATATGTATATGAATGGAGAGAGATTTGAATGTGTCAAAGTGTTACAGCTGTTGTTATCTGGGAATGGCTGTATGTTTGAGTGCTTTAATTACACTCTAAAAGGTAATACCAATGCTTACTTGAAGCACATTGGTGTACTTTACTTATTTCTCATTGTCCTGTTCATTTAACTCACTCCTTAAAGAGCTATAAAACTAAGCAGCGGTTTTTCTCGAAAAAAATTGTCTGAGGGAGCACACCGTGTCGAGGAAGCAAAGCGACCGAGGGGGGTGAAGCCTTTGAAAAATTGAAGCTTAAATGGGAGGCTATCTGAGAGAGAAAGCTCATGGAACTTCAGAAATCAAGACATTATCAACTGCTGAGCATTTGTTGTTTGGTTAGAACTGTAATACAACTGTAAATGAAAACATGACAAATGGCAAAAAAAATGACAATTGGCAAAACGTCTATTTCCTAGTACTTGGGATGTTCTTACATGCTCGTACTGCACCATGATACACAGACATGTACTTTAACCAGTTAACAGTGTCAGGGAGCAAGACCCTGTCATGTACACTAACCTGAGTATAACACAATGTCATTGAGTACGACCTTATCATACATGTACACTAACCACTGCCAGTCTAACACAGTGTCATACATGGTCATTCAGTCTTAAGAAATCTTGCTGTGTAGGTCTGTGTACCTTGCATGCAACCAATATGAAATCTTGTGAGAGCAGATAACACCTAAACAATATAGTGCCTCGGCATGGAAAACACCAACTTCGATTGCTTTTTGCACCGTCTAACGATGTATCTACCGCAATCGGAATATGCTGGAGTCATTATAACGTTTTTGATGATGTGATACATGGTCTTGTGATGGTTCTGGGATATTTTCGTGAGATCGTTTTTGTGAAGACTGCATGTTGTACGGCAGCATAAAAAAATATCTGTCAATACTTGAAAGATTTAAGTTAACACATTCACTAATGAATTAGAATAATAACATTCAATAACTACAGAATAAGTAACATTTGAGTTACTTACAGTCACCAGCAGCTCTCTCCTCAGGTGAGGGAAATGACCTCCGAGGCCTCCCACAGCCACACACGAAAAGCACGCACAAAAACCAGCTTGTAGGTAGAGCTGAAGCTGCTAGCGACAAACTGAAAACCACAAACAGACACATTTTAACATGTTACTCTGGCTGACCACTGCAACATGTGTCTATTATTCTTTATGTCATGGCTCCATATTTTGTTGTGCTAGCCCAGGGCTGTCAAACTGCGGTCCTCGAGGGCCGCAATCCTGCATGTTCTAGATGTTTCCCTCTTCCAACACACCTGATTCAAATGATCAGCTCATCATCAAGCTCTGCAGAAGCCTGATAACGATCCTGATCATTTGAATCAGGTGTGTTGGAAGAGGGAAACGTCTAGAACATGGAGGATTGCGGCCCTCGAGGACCGGATGTCGACACCCCTGTGCTAGCCTGTTGCTAATCAATCATGAAAAATATCACAGGCCACAGCAATAAGAAAAGATCAGGTTCACCTGATCATCACGATGACAAACTCCAAGACTTTCCCTGGCTCCCTAGATAACTTCATTGCGAGAACCAGCAGTTTTGTAGTCATCTCCAGAAAAAACAGTTTGATTAAAAACATCACTGCCAACACCAGCCACTGTAGGAAAAGAGGGCGGGAAGAAAAAAGGAAGCAGAGCAAGACAGGGCAGAGTGCAAGACAAATGTAGGTGGTGAAAAATTTAGAGAAACAATGAGGATAACAAGCAATTAATACAAAATAGAGACGAAAACTACCCAACATTTCATTCTTCTAATTCCTGTGGGTTTCTTAATGAAATAAAACTGTGCTAGCACTCATCACATTTGTACAGTCAGCCAAAGAAAGTCAAGCTTTGTGCTGCATCGCCCCACACAAACCTACAGCACACAAACAGTAAGTAAACAGAAACACTTCTAACCTGCTCATGGTACTGTATGGCCACGGTGAAAACATGGACGAACAAAGCAACCATGATCCCTGTGTTGAGATCCTCCAAGATCTGATCCTGGAAGAGAAGGGAGTCAGGTATGTGATTTCTCTTCAGTGAATCAGTGGGACTTCTACTGTTGTTGACTAATCTTACCGTTGTCTCCATCGTGCTGTCACTGGGGTGCATCCTGTTATGGCGGCTAGAGGTAAAAAGACAGGAGATTAATCACAGTAATTCGAACGCCGCCATTACAGCATTTATCACAAAAATCTGGGAAAAAAAACAACGAAGAATCAGATTTTTACATATGACAGGTCTATGACAGGTGAGTTAACATTTGATGTTCACAGCTGTTTGCTTGGGGAAACATGTATTCAGTGGTAAAACTAACAAGTACAGACCTAGGTGCACACTTAAAGATTAACTAACGAGAAAAAGAGAAGTGTGACCATTAACAGGCAAAGGTGTTCATTAGCCTACAGGTAAATTAGCCAAACACAGCTGTCTATGCTATCACGGCTATCCGTCAGAATCACTCAGTTTTGTTTTTTTTTCTTTATGTAATGACAAATATCCAAATTTTACTCAGCTATGCTATGCACAGCTATAGCCAAAGTTAAATTATCTTAGTGAGTGAAACATCACACCAACACGATTATATGTAACCCAACAGAGGAAAAACCACATTTAATTTCCAGGAGAAAGAAAACTTGTGACTTACCAGAATAAACAATGATGACTCTACTGCATTCAATGTATAGTCTGCTTGTATCCTAAAAGTCTCTCGTCCAAAAAGATCCTTAAAGTTTCTCCTCCTAAAAGGTCAATGAGGTGAGAGGCTTCAGTGTGGCTAACTGTAACTGACCAACTGTAAGTGACCAACTGACGAATGTTTGAGAGTAAACAGCTTCTCTTCATAGTTTGTGTTGAAAAATAA